GAAGGCTGACAGGCAGGTAGGCCATCCAGTTATTTTAGCCGGGCCGGCTCAGATGATTGGTCGTGCTTTTTACAGTACTACGGCTTCCACAGATTACATTTTTTTATGGATTTATTGTCAAACCATTTAATACATTCATTGCTATCGGGACGTTAAGAGCATTCCATGGAATATAACAAAGTGTTTCTGAAGTGAATTACCTACCCCACCTTTAATATTCATTTAAACACTGTGGTTGTTTTTGCTCTGTTGGATCAGACAAAACAAGCTAGATGAGCACATCTGGTAACATGTATTCTAAGAAAATGAAATACTAATGAAACAATAACAGTGCGCAATCACTGATAAGCCCAATCGTACTTTGTATTCAATACCTAAATCACTGTTTTTCAGATTTATCTTGTTGAAAATGAGCATCAGTTAGCATCAGTTAGCATCAGTTAGCATTAGTTAGCTTCTCTGATGGTGGTATTTGTCTCTCTTCTTGTCCTCACTCCACTCAGAGGGTCTGGGTGTGTTTCTTCCTGAGTGTGCGTCATGTGGACGGACAGGAAGTGAACAAAGACGGGAGGAGGGATCAGGAACAAAAACAGAAAAGCACCAACGTCACCCCCTTCGCTGCTTCATCTTTGTTGCTATGGAGAACTTCATGCAGACAGTCCTTTTTGGGTTTCATAAATAAGAACACAACTTTAATTTCTACAATATAAAGTGTTTATTAAAAAGGTACCTTTAGATGTTACCAGCCATAACAACCAGTGTTCTTCCAAATAATGTGAACATGTAGTATTTTACAACAAATCCCTCTCACAGTGCTGATTGGTTCGCCTATTTAAAGACCTATTTTCTTTCTCCTTATTGTAATTGATCTACTGTAGCAGCTGTTTTTCGGTGCCAAAATGTTTGTAGGGATTGAAATAGTGAATTTAAAATACAATTGACAAACCCCATAACACTTGTACAGTATATATCCAAATACTTCCAACAGACACTACAGTATTTAACTTTCATCGTAGCATCAGTGAGATTTGGCTCGTATGTTTCCTAACGCTCCAACCAGAGGAGATGAAGGTGGCTCTACGTGTTGCATAACGCCATTAAAAGATGAAGCACTCACGCCACAGCGGCTGGCTCGGCGGGCGCAGAGACGTCTCCGACCCAGAGGAGGAGAGCGCTGGCTGAGGGCTGTAGAGAGACGTCTGGCTCTGAGAGTCAAACAGGCAGGAGAGCGCTGAGACGAGAAGGAAACATTCAGGTCAGTTTGGAAATGTCAGCTGAAAATTCATTTTATTTATCAGAACCACAGCGTTATAACGTTTTCTGAGTTGTGCACATTGGCTGAACTCCAGATTGGCATGTTTTGAATTGAAACAAGGTTTGCAAACAGACAGCTGAGTGTCGTGGACAGATATTAATTATTTATGTTATTTAAACTCAAATAGTCATTATATTTAATAATGTGTGAAAAATGCTTTCCAATCACGGACTCAAACATAAGAGCCAAAGAAACGTATGATGCTGTTTATCAATCCTTTCTGTGTTTTGGGTTTTTTACCTTGGGTCTGGACTTTATTTTGTATTATGAGTGCCGAACTATTCACAGATGTCCCCTTTTTTTTTTAAACTAAATAAAGTAAACGGTTATTTTGTGATTTTTTTGTAATTATTGAGTGTTCTTGCATTTTAATGTGTGTTTTTTTATACCTCGGGACTGTGGGAAACAGTATTTTGAGATTGACAATAAAGTTGACTTTGACTTTGACATCAGTGTTTCTTTGAAGCAGTTTGAAGCAGTTTGAAGCAGTTTGAAGCAGTTTGGAGCAGTTTGAAGCAGTTTGGCGGATACAAGAAGAGCCTGAGAGCTAACCGCTACTATTGCTCAGGTTATTTCTTTGTTAAGATCCTTAAATCCTTTATTTATGTATGTTAATGTTTGTGGTAACAATGACCAATATCTATTAAGTATATATAATATCTACATGTATATTTTCAATTTTCTTTTCTTTCTATTCTTGTTTATTTTTTTATTTAAAACAATTTCCCAAACTGGGATCAATAAAGTACCATCTTATCTTATCTTAAGTGTATTGTAAAATGTGACTTCAAACCGGATAAAAAGGTGAACCTATGAGAGCTACACCACTGAGGCATGTGCAAAGGGAATTTCACCCCATTGACAAGCAACTAGATCTAAAACACACCTTTACCTATAAATCATTTGGAGTTTTCTGGATTTGAAAATTGTTTGATGACCATTTACATGCACTAAAACCTATTGAACACACTACAGGAAAGGGGAACACCCAAAAGGTCTCTTTAAGTATTGTGATTGTGCGGGCCTACCTCTCATGGTCTTGGCGTTATGTATTGTGATTGTGCGGGCCTACCTCTCATGGTCTTGGTGTTATGTATTGTGATTGTGCGGGCCTACCTCTCATGGTCTTGGTGTTATGTATTGTGATTGTGAGGGCCTACCTCTCATGGTCTTGGCGTGCGCCTCGCTGCTGCTCGCACACACCGTGTTGAGGAACTCGTCGACCTGCTTCAGAGAGAGCGAGTTGTGCAGCGTCTCCAGGAGGATAGATGGGAGGGCCACCATGGGAGCACGCCTTACAAACCCTGCA